AAAATTTTTACCCCCCCCCCCCCCCCCCCGACATGTAGCAGAAGAATGGGCACCAGTATCTGCAGACAGAACTAAAACAAGTTAACCAAATGGGGCCTAATTCTTGTTTATAGGCAAAGTTTGGGAGGTATTCTGACTGATAAAAGTGATGTAGAGGAAGGGCAAATCAAGCTCAGGGAGTGTCTACTGGTAGATTCCATTATTCTGCTAAATATGACAGGAAGATTATTGACTGAGAGTCAGAAATTTTTAAGCAAGTGGAAACCAGGTGGATTAACAAATGAGGTTTGTTTTGACATTCTGTCTTCCTGTAACTTGAATGCTTACTGTGTGTTCTGATTGGTTTGGGTTTTTTTGGTTGTTTCTTTTTTCTTAATAGATGCTGAAGGTGTAAATGGAAGAGAGGAATCTGTGAACCTTAATGATGCTGATGAAGGATTTTCATCAGGAGCTTCCCTCAGCAGCCAGCCAGTTGGGACCAAACCTCTATCATCTGTATCCCAGAAAGGCAGCTTAAGGAAAACAGCAAGTGGGCGTTGTGTTAAGGATAAAGACACCTCCTCTGCAGCAAAATCCAGTGAGAGCCCTCGAGATTCAGTAGCTCGGAAGCAGTACATGCACCAATCCACTGACCTTGGTGCAGATATAATTGAGATGACACCTACAAAGAAACACCTCAGCCTGCCTGCTGGGCAGGTGGTGCCAAAAGCCAACAGTCTGAGCCTGATCAGGACCGCCAGTGCTTCCTCCAGTAAATCATTTGACTATGTGAATGGCAGTCAAGCAAGCTCCAGTGTTGGAGCTGGTACAGAGGGTGTTACCAATCTAGCAGCTGGCAACACCAATCGGTTTTCAACTATCAGCCTACAGGAGGACCGACTAGGCCAAGCTGGGGAAGGTAAAGATCTCCTTCCCCCAGGAGCTCCCCTAACCAAGCAGTCTCGATCTCCAAGTTTCAATATGCAGCTGATATCCCAGGTGTAACTTTGACTCCCTTCCTTAGGACTCCCTCTTTCCCCTTAATCCCCAGGCAAGTTCATCCTTAGGCAAAACATGAACCATCATCCTGCAGTGTGAAAATACTGACTGTCGTGATCTTGTTTGATTTGGTTTAGCTATCATACTGTATTACTGAAACAGCAATAATTCTTCCCTCACCTTCATCCTCCCACCCACCTTGTAAACATGGTTGTGAAGCAGTATATAATGTACTGTATGCCTTTTTCCATGCCTTCCTTTCTCCTTGGGTGATGTGCAATCCATCGTAGGCTGATCAGTCCCATTTCAACACTGTGAGACTGGAGACACCGGCGGAAATGGTGAATGTGATCCCTATGAGATGATGCTTTGGCTTTGTTAAGAAATAGAAACGGGTTTGTTATCTCGGTCTACAGTACTGCAAAGACTACTGGATTATGACTTTTCTTTCTCAGAACCAGGAGTGCCTCAGAGATTCTAGTGTGACTTTGGACCTCTCTGAGTCTGTGCAATCATTTCTGGGGAGGGGATTGTCATTGCTGCTCCTGGCTGCCTACAGCACTTTTTTCATTACAATGAGGGTAGTTTTTTCTTGCCTGCCCCCAGTCTCTCATCCCAGAAGCTTTTGACGTTCAGCAACTGAGACATGTATATTAACAAGTTGTTTTCCCTCAGAGAGAGGATTCTAAGTAGATAATGTAGGTTACAATGCACTTCTAATGGCGTTGTAGCCATATGTAATGTTACGTCTTCCCCTCCAGGACACAGGGTCATTCTGCATATAGAGTAAAATTGAGACAACACCATGCTGTTAAAGCAGTTTGGTTTGTAAGTGGGAGGGAAACACTACTTTCCCAGGAATTAATGGCTAGCTCTGCTCCATGTTGTTGTTGTTGTTGTTGTTGTTGTTCTTGTGAGGTGCTGATCACTGAATTGAATTGAAAGGTGTGTTCGGGTAAAGAGTATTTCTCAGGCTGCTTTCTATGGTATCATGGCTGTTGGACACCCTTACCCCTCTCAGCTGCTTTCTCAGTGTCCCTGAATTCAGTCATGGAGTCATTTGAAGAATCCTGCAGTCCAGACAGACCATACTCTTAAAGGGCTGTCTCAGGGATAGAGAAAATAGTTTGCTAGAAACACTGAAGCTTCAATGTGAAATGCTTTTCTAGAAACACCATTTGTGCAAAGGGGTACTGACAGTCCTTCTTTCCCAGACAGATCACACTTCATTGCCTTGGTATATAAAATACATTGAGGTTTTTTTAACTCGTGTTTTAGTGGATCGGCCCTAATCTAGAAAATTCAGAACTCATGCCATTGAGTCAAGACTTGAATGTATATGACTGGTGTATGGGCACTGGCTGGTACTTACATTAGAGAACACTGCTTAGAAGCACATTTCTGGTCACACAGGAGAATGTTTGTGATTCTCCCCCCCCCCCCCCCCCCCCCCAAAAAGAAAGGGG